TTGGAGACCCTCCAGCGTTCGTCTCATTATTTCATCGATCACAAAGTTAAAAAAGAATGGAGAGAGTGGGCATCCCTGACGGACACCCCTTTGTGTACGGAAGCTTTTGGAGAGCTCTGCGTACACTCTCACACGTCCGGAAGTCTGAGAATACAAAGAACGTATTACGTTTACAAACATTATATATATATGTATAAATAATATTAGAATAATAATAATTACAAAAATAATACCTCGAACACGAGAACGAGGTAGAAATGAAAGCCAACGGACAAACCAGCAACCAAACGAGAGGCTCCAGTAGCAAATTACCTACGGCTCCTAGGGGTGAAAGCCGTGAGGATGACTGAACAGTTTAGACCCATAGTGTATGCCGTTCGTATGGATTCACAATGTGACCACGGATGCAGCAAATTGGTAGAATGATTGAACCATATACCTACTTGGATCTTGTCGCACTGTCTTCACAAACAATCCAATAAACGTTGATAACATTCCTTAAAGTGTTGCACAGACGAGTGAGTTCCGCTCTTTGGACCAGTCGAGGATATGTTGCTGTAAGAATGTATATCCTTGGGATACTAGACCGGGGACCTAGCCACACGCAATAAACAACTGAAAACATGCGACCTTACCTACTGTAGTGGCCCGTGAGGCGAACGAGGAATAAAGTTGCACATATCAAAACAAAACTGTACAGCATGCATCTCCACCATAACACGGGCAGCCTGCCAAAAATGTGCGCTCCCGTTCGCTTTGCTGAAGCCTGTATTGCGCTCCAGCGAAGCATATTCTTTCACTTGATGGATCCAACTTGCTTTACTTCGCGGCCAAACTGTCCTTCCTAGGGAGTGACATGTGTAACTAGAATGAAGAAGTAGGCACTAGATGTTAGTACTCTGATAAACACAGTGGAGTATGTACGGCCTGGCCAGCAAAGCAATGGAAGGAAAGGGTTGGGTTCACGTTAGCTAAACTTACCTGCTTCATTTACCTCCACTGAGGCTGTCTCCAGTTGTAAAAATCCTGAAGATTCAGGTTGCAGCAGCCCAAGTACAGTTATCAGAAATGAATCCCACGCACGCTGATCTGACATCTGGTCCCTCAGCATACACTGCAGAGGTAGTTGAGCCCATATTATGGTGAACAATATTCATGTTGCTTATAGGGTCAACGTCACCAGTCGGAGCACTGTGAAGCTTGCTAACTTGAGACACCTCAGGCGTCAGAACGGTTTATCCCTGAATCTGAAGGGACGTGTATATCAAGCTACAGTACGGGCTGTTTTGTTGTATGGTTGTGAGACTTGGCCTATTCGAGCAGCGGAACTGAGACGTCTTCAGGGGTTCGACAATCGTTGTCTCAGAACCATAGCTCGTGTGGGTTAGTGTCGGCGGATCCGTAACGAGGCAGTTAGAAACCTGTTTTCAGTTGTGTAACAGGTACTTCCATTGAAGAATGTGTCCAGCACCAGAAGCTGCGTTGGTTGGGACATGTGTTACGTATACCGAACCATCGCTTGCCGAAGAGAGTGCTGTTTTCCATACCCAACTCAGAGTGGCGTAAACAGAGAGGTGGCTTACCCTTGACTTGGCAGAGGAGTATGGAGGAGACGACGAAACGCTTGGGTGCTGTCGGTGCTACTCGCCTTCCAGGATGGGGACCGCGTGCTCCTCACTGTGCCTGGTTGGAGACACTACAAGATATGGCTGCCAACCGATGTCAGTGGCGTTCTTGTTGTCAGTTTCTATCCAGATTGCCTGAGTGAATGTCTGGAGGTGTAGGCACCTCGGAATGATTGTGTTAAGCTAGCACTAAGTCCCTTCCCCGTCCACCTTTACTCTTTTCTTCACAATAAGGCTTTCAAATAAGTCATAGTTGTACGGCAGTGAAGCATCGGTGTTGAACACTGATGTCATGCTGTCGATGATGATGACGATGATGATGATGACGATGATGATGATGATGATGATGACGATGATGATGATGATGATGATGAACCATGGTTCCGTGAATGACTGACATGCTACGTATCCAAGCTATTGAAGCCGGAGATAAATGACTACTGTACTCAACGTTGCAGCTGCGGAAGGGTTTGCACACCAGTTCGTCATAGAATACCGAGCCAGCAAACAACAGAAACCTTTAACCTCAGACGAAGTTATCACCTTGTTGGGGTACTCGGGTTTCGGTGCTGCAGTAATCCTGTGGGGTGAATACTGCCAGGTCGCGAGGTAGAGGTCAGGTTCGAACCACAGACATTCGCTAGTGAATTCGCGCTCCAACCGCTGAGCCATCTTGACCCGAGGATCTTCGTTCTTTATGGAAAAAAGTCAGGATACTAGATCTCGCCGATTAAACCAAAAATGTGCTATTCAAGTACACGAGGCACCAACGGAGAAATAAATCAACCAACTTGCATCTTTAATAGTTGTTTCTGGGATACAGCACACACCAATGCCGAGAGCGTCCAGTGTGAGTGTAAGAGCAGCTTGTTGTCCTGCTTGCTTCAGAGTGTGGACATTGAACACGACCAGATAGACTGGGTGTCGAGGCTTGAATAGTGATTTGAAGATATCTGAGGATGTTGGCGCCATGTGACGCCACGTTGCGCTCAAAACCGATGCATGACAAACAGAGTCATCGGTCCTAAGTGCTGGGCCTACATGGAGAGAGTTATTGATAGAGTGGTATGTGAAACAGAAAGAAGGGATGCGTCAGCAGTAGCCTGTTTTACTTTACACGGCCCCCTGTATGCGGCAAGTAAGGCGACCCGGTTGATGGCATCATGTGATGGCCGATGTGGCATGAGTTCATTTGTGTGTGCATTTCATAGTTGTACGTGGGCTGGGATACTGTCGGGGGCGCCCACACCTAGGCAGCAGGACGTTTAGGGTCCTCAACCAGAGCTTTTGGCTCAAAAGGCTGACCACAAGGCAGCGGTGTTTGGCGGGAAATGTTAATGCCTTACCATTTCCACGGAGCAAGTCACCACATGTTCCAACACCCAACCTGGGGAGGGGCAGGAGACTGTTTGTCAGACCTCCACACGGTGACTGATATGAGAGACTGCGAGTGGTGGGGCTCTCCCCAGCATAGCACCATGGATCGCCGAGGTGCGCAAACTATCACTCCACGGTAAGGTCCAGTCTCTTAGTGACGGAGATCGAATACACACTTATGTTCTGTGGGAACAAGGTTTCACCAACAGTTTTTTCACCATTGACCCAACCAAAAAGGTGAGGACATGGCTCACAGAGCACACCGCTACTGATTCACGGATTCACGGATTGATACACAGGATCGAGGCTTTTGCCCAAGTTTCCCGGGTCGGTTTTGTTCTTGTCGGTCAGTGGCTGTCGTTCACCTGAAAGGCACAAGTGAAAAAAGGGTGTAGCACTGCTCTTTATGTTCTCAGCGCGGGGCAGTATGCTCGCCAGCGCGAGGATTCGCATAAATAAATATCTAATAGTGCTTTAAATTGGGTTCGAGAAGGAGCGTGTACAACCGTCGGAGGAAGGTCATTCCACGCAGCTACTACCCGAAATGAAAAAAAGTTTTGTCTAACGGATGTGTGTGCCCTGAGCTTGAAGTTTTTCTTACTATGTCCCCGCCGGGTGTTTGCTGGGTAAACGGTAAAAAACCTGTTTGCCAAGCTTTGTTCAAACAGGGCATAGGTAAGAATTAGGTCCCCTCGGAGGCGACGGTACTCCAGGGGAAAGAGATCAAACAT